TGACACTGAATTATATGAAAATGTCCATGATCTATTAATATGAGACCTGGATATAAAAGTAATATAACTAATTGTGCTAAATAGGATACAGATGCACTTGTAAAATGTAAACCCTTTGCCTTTGGTTTAAAAGGCTCCGATACTTCTCCATGCTTTACTTGAGAGGCACTCTGATTTTCATACAATGAATTGCAATAAAGTACTGCAGACATAAAATATATTAATAAATCTGAGAAAATGACGGTAGCTCTCATGAAAAATTTGTGATGATAGCTTTCGTATCCTCTTGATTTATTTAGTTCAACAAATTCTGGATTTATATAATAAGCAATTTTCCCATTTAAATAACTGTGATATGCCGTAAGAGGAGGATAATCTAAGCCCCAATACATCAAATCATTTTTACTTGTGTTTAAGTACCATTCATTTAATGGTAAATTTACGGTTAGTTCCATCCAATGCCTTTGGGCTTCATAGTCACCGTACATTGGAGGCGTATTCTCGCCAGAATACGAATGTAACGAAACTGACCATCTAACAATTAAGGCAAATGTGAATATTGAATATAAATTACCACTGTAATAAAACTTTTCGCTTGACATTTTTTTACGAGATTTGATAGCCTCATTATAGGCAAAACACCAAAATGGCAGCTGCAAAAGTGTAACGTCGACAATTATACGTAAAATTTTTAATAAGTTTAATACTTACCACATAAGATGCATCCAGCTTTTCCTTGAGTTTTTTTTGAATGTAATCTTTTGTATAAGGCATTTTAACACATAGTCATCGTAATTTTACTTCTGTGAAGATATTAGGTAATTGAATTAGCAGCAAATTTAAGCGGCAAAAAATACTCACGAAAAAAATATTAAAAATATAAAGAATAAGTATATAGCTAGTTATTATTAGTTAAAACTAAATTCTTTATGTTCAAAACCTTTATGTTTTTAAAATTTTTACAATTTTAGAAAAAGAAATAAGTTTTTAAAAATTTTGCTATTTTTAAAAGGTACAACGGTGAAGTTGACTGAATAATCGAAATACCGGAAACATTGTTAAATCCACCATGTAGAACGCATGTGAATGTTGTATTTTATTTTTATTTCAATATTAATTGTTATAATACATATTTTTTGTATGAATTCGTTTATTTAAATAAATAAAAATATATTTGCTTAATATTATGTTATTTGTGCAGTAAGTGATTTTATTAGTTCAATATTATTTAATTTTCCACAAAGTAACATATTTTATGGCTAGTGCAACGTATGATATTTAATTTTTTAACAATTTTATTTATTAAAATTAGTTGTTTCTTTTTTTTTTTTTTTTTTAATTTCTAATGTTAATTCAATTAGTTAACATATATTTATAATTACTTAAATTTATTATTAAGTGTACTCTAAAAAAATACGTTAAGGCTTTTATAATTGCAATTATACTTTAACATCTTAAAACTGTAACATTTCTTTTTATTTTATATTTCAGACTTTAGAAAAATGTCTGTTATATCCTCGAAAAGTTCTATTTTATCTATATTAAAAACACCTGGCTCTGGACCTAGAAATTCTTTACAGCAAGTGAAATTTCAATTACCTAGTGACATAAAAAGAATATTTCTTAATTTTAAGTCTGGAACAAATACAAAAGAATATGAAAATCTCGTTTGTACTATAAGAGATTCAGAATTCACTGATGATGATTTACTACATTTGTTAAAAGAAGCAAAAAATTGTACATCACTATTAAATTATGATTTAAGACTATTTGTGCAAGCATTAATTTTAGTTAGATGGAGTCATAGAGGAGACAATGTTGTCAAATCATATCAGGAATTTGTAAATGATTTAATATCAGCTCATTCTTGCCACATAAAATTAGTTGTAGATCAATTGATCAAATTGTTTTTAAATTATGATGATTCCGATTGGATTAATGATCTTCCCTCTGAAAAAGCAGATCAGCAGTTTAATAATAT